CTCCCTCTCTCCCTTCTTCCCTCCTTCTCCTTATCCTCCTCCTCCTCCTCCTCATCCTCCTTCTCCTCCTCCTCCTCCTCTTCCTCCTTCTCTTGCTCCAGCTGCAGGCTCCTCCTCCCTCCCTCTCTCATTCCCTCCCGCCCACCCCGCGCCCTCCCTCCCTCCCTCCTCCCTCTCCCTCCTCCTCCTCCTTCTCTCCCCTGCTCCTCCTCCTCCTCCTCTCTCTCCACTTCCTCTCTTCTCCTCCTCCTCCACTTCCTCCTCCTCCGCCTCCTCCTCCTCCTCCTCCCCTCCTCCTCCTCCTCCCTTCTCCTTCCTCCTTCCTCCTCCTCCTCCTGCTTCCTCCTTCCTCCTTCCCACCCGCGCCACCCGCCCGCCCTCCTCCCTCCCCCTCCTTCTCCTCTTCCTGCTCCCTCCTCCTTCTCCTCTTCCTCCTCCACTTCCTCTTCCTCCTCCTCCTCCTCGCCTCCTCCTCCTCCTCTCTCCTCCTCCTCCTCCACTCCTCCTCCTCCTCCTCCTCCTCCTCCTCCTCCCCTCCTCCTCTTCCCCCTCCTCCTCCTCTTCCTCCTCCTCCTCTTCCTCCTCCTCCTCTCTCGTCTCCCCGTCCTTGTCCTCGTCCTTCCTCCTCCGCCCTGACTCCGCGCGTCGCGCGTCGCCAAGCTACATGACCACTCTCTTCGCACACTCGCGCCTCCCCGCTGAAGGAGGACGACCCTCCTGCCGGAACCGCGAAGCGCGAGGCCCTCCCCTACCTCCTCCTGCTCCTCCGCCACCTCCCTCCCACTGCCTCCCTCGCCCTTTCCCTTCCTCCTCCTCCTCCTCCTCCTGTTCCTCCTCCTCCCTCCTCCTCCTCCTCCTCCTCCTCCTCCTCCTCCTCCTCCTCCTCCTCCTCCTCCTCCTCCTCCTCCCCTCTCCTCCTCCTCCTCCTCCTCCTCCTCCTCCTCCTCCTCCTCCTCCTCCTCCTCCTCCTCCTCCTCCTCCTCCTCCTCCTCCTCTATGCATTTTCCTACAAAGTCATTCCGCGCTGTGACTACCCCTGGCGTGTCGGTAGGGCGAGCTGAGAGTTTCGCCCGAGACTTCCTCACCATTTAGGGTCCTGAAGATCGAAGTATGGAACAATTTCACTGATGGAGGGCGTGCAATACGCAAAATGTGGCTCTCGCCTTGGCGCCGCGCGCAGTCATTCTAAAATTTGTAACAGCTTCACGGATGGAGGGCGGGCCGCGGGCCGTTTGCAAAATGCGGCTCTCGCCTTCGCGCCGCGCGCATTCATTTTGACAACTTGCAGCAGTTTCACTGATGGAGGGCGGGTCGTTTTCAAATGTGGCTCTCGCCTTAGCGCCGCGCACATTCGTTTCAAAAGTTTGCAGCGGTTTCACGATGAAGGGCGGTTCTTTTTCAAGAGGTGGCTATCGCCTTAGTGCCGCGCTCATTCGTTTTGACAGCTTGCATCAGTTTCAAAGATTAACATGGTCGAAGTCCCCAGAACGTTTTTCAAGCAAGATTTAGGATCGTCTGAACGCAACAGTGATGTTGATTCGCTGTGTTGACGTATCAAGAACTGTGGTCTGGCAAGGCTTGGGAATGCCAGGACGCAACAGTCACGGTTGACTCGCGACGCTGCAGTCCCAGGAATGGTTTTCTGGCACGATTGAAGATTCTCTGTCGTGTGTTTTCCAATGGGGCAGTTCCCGCAACTAAGATTAATTCTTGTTGGACCCGATGGACCCTATGAAGAGGGAGCTCGGAGGGAGGGTTTATTGCACCTCCTCCTCCTTCTCCTTCTCCTCCTCCTCCCCTGAGATCCTAGCGTTGCATTTTTTCACACCTGGCGTTTTCACCCGGCTTCGGACGCCGGGACCATCGCAGATCGATCCGGCTCGAAGAATACCAGGGAAGGATGGGGTCTAGGGATCCAGCCGTGATGTTTCTCTATGTTCGTTTTTTCGCAACGCCGGATCTCAGCATCCTCCTCCTCCTCCTCCTCCTCCTCCACCTCTTCCCCAACTTCTCCTCCTCCACCTCCTCCACCTCCTCCATCTCCTCCTCCTAATCCTCCAGCTCTGGTACCTCCTCCTCCTCCACTTCTACCTCCTCCTCCTGCAGCTCTGGCACATCTTCCTCCTCATCCTCCAGTTGCTGGCAGCGTGCCGAATGTCGCGCAAACTGGTCAGATTTCGCGTCTCTGCGGGTGGCCTAGGGTGCGGAGGAGGAGCGGTGGACAGGAGAGAGGGGGAAGAGAACGACGAGGGGGGGGAGAGGGAGCAGATGCGAGTGGGAGAGCAGAGGTAGGGAGAAAGGAGGATGCTGTACAGAAAGGAGGGCGGGGAGGGGAGGAAGCAGAGCAAGACGAAGATAATGAGGAGGAGGAGGAGGAGGGGGAGGAACAGCAGGAGGAGGAGGAGGAGGAGGAGGAGAAGGTGGAGCACACGTTTATTGGCAGGCCGTGAGTTACCGTCTGACTAGAGTCGCATGTCGGATGCATCGCTAAACCGTATGATACTGTACACCGCCGAGCATATGGGGCGACTGCATAATCAGTGGAAGTTCGAGTAGGCAAGAGTCACAAGATCATGAGCTACATTCGAAGGTAACTCAGAATAAGGAGGAGGAGGTGGAGGAGTTGAGGAGGGGGAGGAGGAAAAGGAAGAAGGTAAAGGGGGAGGAGTAGAAGGATGCGGAACATTGTTCCCGCATGCTGCTTCTTGTGATGGGTCCACGCAGGGTGCTGTCGTTGCCGTTAACTTCCTGCGTGACACAGTGCTGCACTGCCCGCACGGGCAGGCTGTGCCGCACAGAGATCGCGTCTGGATGCCTGCCGATGCTGTTCTGGCGGCCGACCACGACGCACGGGCGCCCCGTGAAGTTGTTGATGGCCCGCCCCCACTGCCAATATCATCCCCTGGCCACTCATGAGGTTCGCACGTTGTTCTCCAGCGACTCCAAGGGCGATCGCGATCGAAACACTCGCGAAAGACGCGGCGGCGCACCGGGCCACGTCCCGGCGTCGCCAGGGACTAGCCCCTTCGGCGGGAAGTGGCCCAGTCCATCGGGACGCGACCCAGAAGCAATATCATGCAATATCAGCCCCCGATTCCCCCTCCTCCCCTCGCCGGGCCCCCCCTTGCTCCGTACTCCCGCTCGCTCTGTTCTGTCCACCCCTGCCAAGGAGAGAAGGACCAGGAGGAGAGGAGGAGGAGGATGAGGAGGAGGAGAAGGATGATAATAATAAGAAGAAGAAAAAGAAGGAGGAGGATGAGAAGAAAGAGGAAGAGGAGGAGGAGCAGGTGGGGAACAAGGAGGAGCAGGAGGACAAGGAAGACAAGGAGGAAGAGGAGGACGAGGAGGAGGAGGAGGAGGAAAAGGAGGAGGAGGAGGAGGAGAAGAAGAAGAAGAAAAAGGAGGAAGAAGAAGAGGAAGAGGAGGAGGAGGTGGAGGACGAGAG